AGTTTTCATTTGTGTATCCTTAATAGATAATGATATTAAGCATGGTATCAATTCATTTCAAATCTTTTGTTTTTATTCATTTTTTTGATTTTTCACTCACTTTTGAAAGATCATTTGGCTTGGTATATACAGATTCCAGCTGTTTATCTGTTTTTATAGCTATTTCTCTTAATTGTTCTGTTTTCTTCTTTCTTTGCTGCTGCTGGAGAACTGTCAGTCAGTCTACTCATATTTTTTACATAGATAGTATTTCCACCCCCCCCCCAGCCTTTCTGGCTACTTTTACAATATTCTCTTTGTCTTTCATGTTGTCCAGTCTCACTATGATGGGCCTATATAGAGATATAGTTATTTATAATATTCTATCTGAATGCAGAGTATGGACTTAATGAAGAAGAATGTGGCATCAGGATTAGAGGAAAATATGCAGATGACACAGACTAGCTTGCTGAAAGTGAAAAAGACTTGAAATACTTGTACAAGATCAAGGACTACTGCCTTAGATATTAATTACATCTAAACATCAAGGAAACAAAAATCCTCACCACCGGGCCAATAGGCAATGTCATGCTACATGGAGATTAGATTGAAGTTATCAGTGATTCTATATTATTGGTAGCCAAAATTAGCACCCTTGGTACTTGCAGTCAAGAAATCAAAAGATATGTTGCATTGGGAAAATCTGTTGTCAAGGATCTCTCCAAAGTGCTAAGGAACAATGATGTCAATTTACAGATTAGGGTGCACTTGTTTCAAGAAATGATCTTTTTAATTACTTGCTATGCATCTAAAGTGATGCACATTCCAAAGAAGGGTGACCCAACAGAGTGTGGAAACTATAGAACACTATCATTGATTTCACATGCAAGCACGATTCTACTGAAGATTATCCAAAAACGACTGGAAAAGTACATCAACAGAGAACTGCCAGAAGTCCAGGCTGGGTTTAGAAGGGGTCATGGTACTAGGGATATTGTAGCTGATGTTGGATGGATCTTAGCTGAAAGCAGGGAATACCAGAAGAATGTCTATCTGTGTTTCATTGATTATGCAAAGGCGTTTGACTGTGTGGATCATAACAAACTGTGGCTGACTCTGAGAAGAATGGGAATCCCAGAACACTTGATCGTGCTAGTGTGAAACCTATACTTACTTGGACCAAGAGGCAGCCATTAGAACAGAGCAGGGTAACACTGCATGGTTCAAAATTGGGAAGGGCATACACCAGGAATGTGTCCTGTCTCCATACCTTTTCAACCTGTATGCAGAACAAATTTTCTGGGAGACTGGGCTCTATGAGGAGAAATGTGGCATCAGGATTGGTGGAAGATCTATCAACAATCTGCATTATGCAGATGACACACTACCCTGCTTGCTGAAGCTAAGGAGGACCTGAAGCGCTTGCTGCAGAGGGTAAAGGACTGCAGCCTTCAATATGGATTGAGGCTCAGTCAGTATCAAGAAGACAAAGATTCTAACCACTGGACCAATTGGCAGCATCAGGAGTGGATGGTGAAGAGAGTGAGATTGTTCACAACTAAAGTTTGCTTGGTTCCACAGTCAACATTCTTGGCACCAGCACCCAGGAAATTAAAAGACGTATTGTGATGGAAAAGTTGGCTGTTAGGGACCTCTCCAAAGTACTGAAGAGCAATGGTGTCTCCCTGGAGACTAAGGTGCGTCTGATACAGTCCGTGGTCTTTGCAATCACTTGCTATGAATCAGAAATCTGGACAATGACTAGGGAGGATAGAAGGAGAATTAATGCCTTTGAGCTGTGGTGCTGGAGAAAAGTATTGAGGGTACCAATGACTGCTAAGAAAACAAGCAGATTCATCCTGGAGAGGGTTAAACTGGGCTGCTCCTTGGAGGCAAGGATTCTGGGGTTTTGTCTGACATACTTTGGACATGTTATAAGGAGGGACAGGTCCTTGGAGAGGGACATCATGCTTAGGAGGATGGAGGGACGGCGCAGGAGGGCAAGACCCTCTATGAGGTGAATTGATTCAGTGACTGGGGTAATCGGGATGGGGGTATCAGAGACAGTGCGATTGGCACAGGACAGAGCAGAGTTTAGTGATATTGTACATAGGGTCACTATGAGTTGCAAGTGACTCGATGGCACATAACAACAACAACATGCGTCTAAAAGTTGGACAGTAACTTTGGATGACAAGACAAATCAATGCCTCTGAACTAGGGTGTTGGAGAAAATATGGAATATCCCATAGACTAATGAAAGAAGCAGGAGTGGCATCCACTTCTGAAACAACGTGCTTCTGGAAACTCTATGAACTTTGATAAATGTCGATAGTTGTAGAAAGGTTTTAGGTCTTTTGTTCATAGGTTCCCTATTAGCTGTACTCAACTTGATGACAATCAACAACAACAACAACCCAAAGAACAAATACATCTTGAGAAAGTGTAACAAGGGTGTTCCTTAGAGGCAAGCATGGTGAAATGTCATCTGACATATTCTTGGCATTTGGGACTTGGGCATGTTGTTAGAAAGAGCTTGTCTTTGGAAAAAGACATCAGCCTAGGAAAGGTGGAGAGTCTGAGAAAAAGAGGAGGACCCTTATCAGGATGGATTGATACCATGATTATAACAATGGGCTCAAGTATATTAGAAATTATGAGGATTGCACAGGATAGAAAAGGTTCAGATCTGTTGTTCGTAGGGTCACTATGAGTCACACTCCACTCAGTGGCACCTAACAACAACAACAAAATATTAGGAGTTTGTTGCTTCTTCTTAGCTTGGGGATCTATGTCTTTGATCAAATTTAGAAAAATTTCTTAGCCATTATTTTATCACCTATTACTTCTTTTTAATTTTTTCTCTTTTACCCTTCTGAAACTTTGATGAGATGTATGTTAAAGTATGTCACTCTAGCCACACGTCAGCATTTTTTTCAGGTTTTCCTGTTTTCTTTCTTCTAAAGTATAAATAATGCCTCCAGATCTATTTTCCAGTTTTATGGTTCCCTTTGGCTGCCTTTATTATGTTGTTTAATCCATCTTTAGATATTATAGTAGGAAGAATAATCTTTTTGTTATTACATGCTATCCAGTGGACTTTGACTGACAGGGAATTCTAATCTTTGTCGTCTTCACAACAATGGGTTGTGTTCACTGTTCATTGATGAACACTCTGTTGCTCTTTATTGTTCGTTGTTGCAGTCACTATGTCAGTATAATTCTTTTGAGAGTCTTTCTCTCTTTTGCTGATCTCTTATTTTTCCTAGCAGAAGGTCAAGGACTGTAGTCTTCAATATAAATTGAAGCTCAACATCAAGAAGACAATGATTCTCACCAGGGGGGCAATTGGCGGCACCATAATAGATGGAGAAGAGATGGAGGTTGTTAACAATTACAGCTTGTTCGGCTCCACACTCAACACTCTTAACACTGGCAGTCAGGAAATCAAAAGACCAATTGCATTGGGAAAATCTGCTGTCAAGGACTTCTCCAGAGTGCTCAAAGCAATGATGTCAGTCTAGGGACTAAGGTGTACCTAATCCAGGCCATGGTCTTCACAGTCACTTGTTATGCTCTAGAGAGCTGAACTAAGGATGACAGAAGAAGAATGAATGCCTTCTAGTTGTGGTGCTGGAGAAGAGTCTTGGATTATCCAAATGAACCCACAATGTATCAAATAATCTCTCAAAAAAAAAAGTAGAAGAAAGCAGCAAAGATTTGGTCAGAGAGAAAAGATGGAAGGAGGATAGATTCAAAGTATGAGAGGGGCTTGTCACATTGTTGCTAACTTTGAAGACATAGGAAGAGGAATACAATGGTTTCTAGAACTTAGAAATAGCTGACCACTAACAAGGAAACATATATCTTAGTCTTAAAGGGAATTGGAATACTGCCAATCCTGTAGTGAACAAAGAAGCAGGTCTACGTCTAGAGCTGCTGAAAGGAGCCCACAACTTCTGGCTCAATTTTAACTTTATGAGACCAGTGTTGGACATATGGAACTCTAAGATAATAGGTTTTTGCTGGTCCCTTTGTTTGTTTTGTTTTTTTGTTTTTGTTTTGTTTTTTTAAAAAGCCCTGGATTTGTGCTTATTTGTTAGAGCAGGAGTAGAAAAGTAACCTTCTATCCTTTAAGTTACAGTTTACATACAATTTTTGAGAGACTTTCACTGATCTTCTTATAAATTGCCTCTACGTGTGTGTGAGAGAGAGAGACAGACACAGAGAGAGAGAGAGAGAGATTCTTTTACCAAACATTTCAGGGATACAGACTAACTTTATGTTATCTCAAAACAGTTAGAGAACTAGTGACAGAGCCAGATGGAGGCAAAGAGGAAAACTATCCTCTCTTAAAGCACTGTCTTCTTTTCCTCTGTGGCACTTACTAGAGCCTGCCTTGTGTACCATATCCTAGCAACTAGCTCCATGCCTGGTGCATACTAGACACTTGTTAAGTCTTTATTAATTACATGGGTTTTAAAAATGGGCTAGAAATCATGTAAGTAAAGCAAATGGATAACAATATTTCACCTTGGAAATCATAAAACAAGTGAGAAAACAAAATTTAAAAGGTAAAAAAAATTAATAATTTACACTTTGGTGAATAAAAAATGAGTAGTTATGTTTGATCTGACAACTCACTATATACTGATAGACTGTTATAACCAGTCCCGAAGAAAGAAAGAATAAATTATGTGCAGCATGAGGAGTTTTAGGTTGGTTATAAAGACTTCACCATCTGAGTTTAAAGCATAGGTTTGTAGTCTCAAGGACATTTGGAGTGTGTAACCCATCTAATGGAGAGTTTTTTCAATTCGGTGATGGTCTTTGATGTTCTGTCAAGAGGCAATAGATTGGGTCTCTGGCTTTTTCATTCCCATTGGGTTGATGATAACATTTTCCTGTCTAGGGGTGAATGTAAGTCCTGAATTCAGGCCATTTAATTAGTTCATGTTAGCTTTAATTATCTCTGAAGGTGCTTTCTCCTATTACACTGAACAGTTCACACCTTTTATCAGGTACCAGAGTAACACTGCTTCTGATGTTCTTGACACGATTACCAATATTCAACCCAAAGAGAGTGGAGGCGGAGTGGGAGAGACTCGGGAAGCTATTGTTTATAGATTATCTGAAGACATGCTGAGCAAACTACCTCCTGATTATATTCCTCATGAGGTAAGTCATACTTATTTTTTTCTATGGATCTTTGGGATTTCATAAAGCTGAGTAGGATCTGGGACAGTTTGTCCTGTCTAGTCATTCCCTCTTCCTTCTCTGCCATTTTTTTACCTTTCGGTCTTAGCTTCTTTACCAATGTCTTTTTTCCAGTATCTCCCAAGGCACAATATATACTTTTCTTCAGACAGCTTTCTTCATTCTATTTCTCTTCCATTTTTTTGTCAATCATTTTTTCCTCTGCCTTTAGGTAGGAATCCACCTAATTGTGGTAGGAATCTAATCTTTAGATTCTGTTAGCTAAGGACTCCCCAGATATCTTAACCCTCTAGGCTGAGGTGCCTCCTGATATCTTATACCAAAGCCTGGTCTCTCTCCATTCCTTAAATTTATCTCAAATTTTTGTCTCCTGTTTTCTATACTTTTCCTTATATCAGCGTACTTGGCCAGATAATAGGAAAGCAAGCTGGTTAAACTAATTCACTTCCTGGTGTGGACGCAGTAATGTTTTACTTTTTTACTTTCTCAATGATTGCTTGTTACTCTAAGCCAGCTTTTCATAAAATTTTGGACTCAGGGCCCCTTTACAAGATAATTAAAGACTCCAAATAGTCTTTATATTTTAATAATTATATTTTGAAGACAAAATATTCAATGAGAAATGTGGTCTTTTTTTACGTTTTGCGAAATCCATTTCTGTTTTGGCTTTGTTAAAAAACAACTGGATTCACCTGCCTGCTTCTGTATTCAGTCTGTTTCACTGTCATATGTCATAGAGCCTCTCGAACACCCCATTATACACACATTGATGCGTATATAAGCATGGAAAAGTCAAATAATCTCTTAATATTGCTATGAAAATGTTGTAACTTTATGGACTTTCTGAAAAGGTCTTGGGGACTGAGGGGTTTCAGATCATGCTTTGAGAATAGCTAGTCTAATGCAATCTTTAGATGTGGTAAAATTTCTGGATTGTTCTGAAATTTCTGTTCAAAAGTCCTAGGGAGTTCTCTTAGCCTCATGGGTAAGTTTGAGGGCTAAGCTGTACCTGATTCGGGTCATGGTCTTTTCAGTCACTTTCTATGCATCTGAGAGCTGGACAGTGAATAAGGATAACACAAGAATTGATGCCTTTGAGTTGTAGCACTGGAGAAGAGTACTGAATATCCCGTGGACTGCCAAAAAAACAAGTAGATATATCTTGGAGAAGGTGCAGCCAAAATGCTCCTTGGAGGCAAGGATGTCAAAGCTTTGTCTCACATACATTGGGCATGTTACTAGGAGAAGTTATTCCTTGGAGAGGGATATCATGCCTGGAAAGGTGGAGAACTGGTGAAAGAGAAGAAGACCCTCAACCAGGCAGATTGACACAGTGACTATAGCAATGGACTTGAGTATGTCAGAGATTATGAGGATGGCTCAGGATAGGATAGGGTTCAAATTTGTTATTCATAGGGTCACTGTGAGAAATACTCGACTCAGTGGCACCTACCTAATAACAAGTGAATAAGGAGTTTACCTACCACCCCAGAAGTGGGCAATTTGAATCCCCCTCCTGCTCTAAGGGGGTAAGATGGACAGTCTCTTCTGGGGCAGTTTACATGCATGTGCTGAAACTCCACTCAAGAGTCAGTTATGAGTTGGCTCTGACTCAACTGACAAAAATGACTGTATAAGTGAGTTCAAAAGTCCTCATATCTACCCTGGAGAGAAGACCATAACTGACATCCAAGCAGATATATGCACACCCACGTTTATCGTGGGTTTGTTCACAATAGCAAGGACTTGGAAACAACCTAATGTCCATCAACAAATGAATGGATAGAGAAGCTGTGGTATATTCACACAATGGAATACTACACTGCATTGAAAAACAAGGAACTCATGCAATATTATTTAAAATGGGTGACCCTGGAGGACATTATGCTGAGTGAAGTATCTCAGTCACAAAAGGACAAACACTGTTGTAAAATAGGACTGACCTTAGGTTTGGGGAGAGACTGAGAAAGATGGGTTCAATAATGTATACTGCCTTGAAACAGATGAGGGAGAAAATTGTTTAAAAGGGATATGTGATTAGGTATTTTTGTCATGATGGGAGTCCAGAGCAAAGGCAGTATAGTGGAGTGGACCTGGGGGAAGGGATTGTAAAACAATGAAAGAATTTTTCTTTTACTTTTCCAGGAGAGGAGTGTACTGTGTAGGGAGGGATGGGCAGGGAGAAAAGTGCAACAATGAATGAATGGAAATCCAAAGTTTCTGTAAATTTTCACTGAAATAATTTTTTTAAAGGCCTCAAATCTGGCTTTCCACCTCCATGTAAGAAGGAAGGGTTGTATTTTCTGGCTGACCAGAGATGACTCCCTCACTGCTAGTAGTTTCACCCGAGTCCTTAGAATGGACTGAGTCAAGTGTAGCTCTTCAGTCGACAAAAGGAGAGGTTTCCCTGCCCTAATCCTGGTGTAACTTCAGTCCTGTGCCCATCATGCGCTGAATTAAAATGCACTTGTTGGCCGTGAGCCCATAGATGGCCTGTGTTATACACTGCACTCTGCAGGTGGAGCAGCTAGAATCTTAGATGAAGACCTTCCCCTGCCTCTTGTTTTAGAAAATTTTTATTTTATACTGGCTTACCTACAAATTTCATATACATTGCTTTTCACACCAGATCTTTCCCCTTTCCTTTACTCACTCCTCCCTCCACCCATCAAATTGTGCGACCCTATGATTAATCCCTCCTTCATCTTCACCCTTCTGCTCCCCTCCCCACTTTGGATCCTTGTACACGTTCTACAATAATGCTCTGAGTATTTGTCTTTATGGGACTGAATTAGTTCACTTAGTGTAATGCTCTCCGACCTTCTTTTTTTTTTTATAACATGGGTATCTTTGTGAAATCTAGGTTTGTTTGTTTAAATTTAATTGGTTTTTGTATAATCATTCATATACATTGTGCTTCATTCATGTACATTGTGTTTTATACCTTCATTCACATATAATGTGTTTTATATAATTACTATTTTTTTCCCTTTCCCCTTATTCCACGCCCTTCTCTCTTTCCCTTTCCTAACATTTATACATATCCTATTCCTATTTGCTAACTGGCAGCATTTTGATAGTTGGTGAAGAGATTGAGATGGTTAACAGCTTTAGTTTGCTTGGCTCCACAATCAGCACTCTAGGTATCAGCAGCCAGGAAATCAAATGATGAATTACATTGGGAAAGTCTGCTGCCAGAGACCTCTCCAAAGTACTGAAGAGCAAGAACATCAGTCTGGAGACAAAGTTGCACCTGATCCAGGCTACATTCTTCACAATTGCTTGCTATGTGTCAGAGAGTTGGACAATGACTAGAGATGACAGAAAGAGAATTAATGCTTTTGAGCAATGGTGCTTGAGAAGAGTATTGAGTATACCGTGGACTTCCAGGAGAATAAATAGGTTCATCCTGAAGAGGGTTAAACCCGGCTGCTCCTTAGAGGCAAGGATTCTGAAGCTTTGTCTGTTGTACTTTGGACATGTTGCAAGGAGGGACCACTCATGCTTGGAAGGATGGTGGGATAGCAAAAGAGAGAAAGACCATTGATAAGATGGACTGATACAGTGACTGGTGTAATGAGGGTAGGTGTGTCAGAGGCAGTAAAATTGGCACAGGATAGAGCAGGTTTCAGGTATTGCACATAGGCTCTCTATGAGTCACAAGAGACTTGACCGCACATAACAGCACAACATATGCTAATTGCAATGGCCTTATTGTTCTTTCATCAATTTTTCCCAGGATGATCCTCCCTTAAGGCTTTTTTGATGAATATATACACAGTCATACATCATTTCACTGTTTCTCTATATTCAACTCAATGCTAGTAATTGCATGTTTCATGTTGTACAAACATTCTCAAATTGTCCTCCCACCGTTGATTTAAAATATACTGTCTCCTAAACTTCTCATATAACCTTTTGAGTTACTATCATCAATTTAATCTCATATAACAACAACAACATATGAATCTTTAACAAAGTACAATGCTCTAGGAAGATATATTTTTTCTTATTAAGATAAAGGTTTTTTAGTCAAAGAAGACTTTAGGGGATAATGTTGTTGTTGTTGTTGTTAAGTGCCGTCGAGTTGCAGGCGACTCATAGTGACCCTATGAAGGAGAGTCCTCGACGCTTGGGTGCCTTTCATCCTCTCTCCAGGTTCATAGGGTTTCCAGAGGCAAGCTATTACGGAAGTGGATGCCACTCCTCCTTCCACGCTTGTTTTAATCGGGGAGCTCCACCCCACTCTCTGTCTGCATTGGGTAGCCAACCATTAACGCATGTGACATATTAGTGTCACAGTGTGCAGCCTCACAGCAACCACAAGTTACCGCTGTACAGCAACTTGTACACCAGGGCTATATGACCTAGAGGAATGTCTGAACAAAAACAATGAAAGACAGGCCCGAGGGCCACGGATTAAAAGTCACCCACTTTTGCCTTAGTTAGTAGCATTGCTTTCTGTCCACTAGGCCAGCTGATCTCTCTCTCTATGTTGATGTTATAGTGATTTAAAATTTAAAGATTATTTCAGGGTAGTCTTTTCAGGAGTTCATCCAGCCTCAGTGGCTACAGAAATCTGGCTTCCATTGAGAATTCAGTTCACCATTTTCCCCTTTTGATCATGATTCTTCAATAGAGGTTTTATTAAAGGTGATCACTGATGGTAGCTGTCCAGTTCTTCTGGTAGGCCCAGGATACTTTGGGGACATATCTGGTGTCTTTCTTGCTCCTTTAATCATTTTTTCTCTCTCTCAGAGTTGACCATAGAAATCTTGCTTGAATAAATGAAATACTAATCTATTAGTTTGTACACTTATACACATAAAACCTGAATATCCTTAAAATCAGTGGTAGATATGCTGTTGAAGACATAGAAGGTCACCTGTGTAGTAAATTCTGTATGATTATATCACTAACTGTATCTCTCAATGTTTCTATGAACTACTCAGAACTCGAAA